AGGCGTAAGAAATACACTTTCTTAACTCAAGAATTAAAAAGACAAAACTGTAAATTCAGATGGGACAAAATGGAAGGTCTTATGACCACTTTTAACGACCGGAGGTATTGGATCAACGACGTTGAGAAGGCCAACGAATTCATGCTACTACTTAAAGACCGCACAAACAACACAAATACAGAAGCCTATCCCATAACAGGTAATGTGAGAAAAAGAGCCCGCCCAGACTCTCCCTCTAAGGCAGAAGATTTAACGGAAGAAGCACCGAGAACGACCGGGGAATCGACTATCGGTAAGAAGGAGGAGGGAGCAGTGGGAGCAATAAATAATCACAATCATGAATGAACGCCAAATAAAATGTTACTCCCTGAATGTAAATGGTTTTAATTCTGTTTGTAAAAGAAAAAGAATTTTTCATAAAATCAATAAAGGTAATTACCATGTTATAGCACTGCAGGAGACCCATATTTGTAACAGACATGTCGCCTACCTGACCCAGAGGAAATTAGGTAAAGAGTTTTATTCAACCTCAGATTCCAAAAAAAGGGGTGTAGTAATCTATGTGAAAGAGGATATACCGGCCGAATTAAGCTTTAAGGACCAGGAGGGTAGAGTTGTTGCTGTAAAGATTAAACTGGGCAATGAGTCTGTGCTGATTTGCAACCTATACGCCCCAAACGGCCCAAAAACAAAGTTTTTTGACTCTCTAAAGGAGAACCTACTGAAGGTAGAATTCGACAGTTTAATAGTTATGGGGGATTTTAATGGCATAATGGACAAAAACATAGACAAATGCCCCAGCAGTAAGAGAAAGAAAGATAACTCCCTTCTCCCCAAAAAGTTCATTTCGCTTATAGAGGAATTCGATCTTTGCGATGTCTGGAGGCACTGCCACCCAGACAAAAAGGAATACACATATTACTCACCTCGACATAGACTATGGACAAGGATCGACATGATCTGGGCCACAAACTCGATCCTATCCAAGATAAAAACCTACAAACAAATCCGAGAGAACTATCGGACCATTGCTCTTTGGAAATGTACATATTTAAAAAGGCAGATGTCAGAAGGTGGAGACTGAATGACAATCTTCTCAAAACGGAATGCGATATAAAGAAAAATAAAGAACTGATAAGGGACTACTTTGAACAAAACGACACACCCGACATCTCCCCGCTAGTAGTATGGGACACACTTAAAGCGGTAATGAGGGGGTGCTTAATTCAGCAAAATGCCATCAAAAATAAAAAGAAAAATCTGGATATAAAACAATTGGAAAAGAGGATTACGGAACAAGAACAAGTCCGAAAAAGAAACCCGGAAAATATAAAAATAGAAAGGAACTTGAGCTGGCTCAAAAAAAGGAAACAACATCTAGAGATCGAAGCCCTGGAAAAAAAATACAAATATATTAAGCAACAAGAATTTGAACACGCCAACAAGCCCGGGAAATGGATGGCAAGGAAAGTAAGGAAGAAAAAAGAAGCACAGCGAATAACGAAAATCAAGAAAGGAGAGTGCTACCTAACGAAGGACAAAGATATAATTGAAGATTTCCGAGAATACTATGCAACCCTCTACAACAAAGACGACACTCAAGAAACAGAAATCACAAGCTATATAGCGAAGCTGAAGCTAGAAAAGATCACAGAATCACAGAGAGAGGCCTTAAATAGAAAGATTTCAATTCAGGAAATCACAGAAGCGATAGCAAATATGCCAGCCAACAAAGCTCCAGGCCCTGATGGCTTTTCGGCCTGCTTTTACAAGACTCTGAAGGAAGAACTCGCACCCTATCTCCAAAAAGTACTGAACCTAGCTTTGAGTGAGGGCCAGATCCCAGAAACCTGGAAAGAGGCAGAGATCGTCCTAATTAGGAAAGGAAACACAGAACAGTCGGACAAACAGAACTACCGACCGATATCTTTATTGAACACGGATTACAAAATCTTCGCAACAATCCTCGCAAAGAGACTAAAAGGATTCCTATCCGAATGGATAGGAGAGGAACAAGCCGGCTTTCTTCCAGGGAGAAGCACGAAGGATAACTTAAGAACCATCATCAATATCATAGAGTACTATGATTTCATCATCCAAAAAAAGCTAGCCCTGCTCTCCCTGGACGCCGAAAAAGCTTTCGACAATCTTAGCTGGAAATTTATGAAACTCTTGCTGGAGGAAATAGACATAGGACATGCATTCAGAAATGCCATCAATGCCATCTACTCAAAACAACAGGCAAAACTTCTGATAAACGCACAATTATCAAAAGCAATAACGATCACGAAAGGTACAAGACAAGGCTGCCCCCTGTCCCCGCTCCTCTTCATCATGGCCCTAGAAACTCTTCTTAAAGCAATTAAAGAGGATAAGAACATCAGAGGCTTGACAATCGCCAAACAGGACTATAAGATCAGGGCCTATGCAGACGATGTTATCTGCATAATCGATGATCCTATCAACAACATACGGAACTGGCTAGACAAATTAGAAGAATATGGAACGGTATCGGGATTTAAAATCAATAAAAACAAAACTACACTACTAACTAAAAACATTCCAGCCGATATGCAAGAAGAATTGAAAAAACGATCGGGCCTCGCAATCAATAAAAAAATCAAGTACCTGGGGATATGGATCACGGCTAAAAACGCCCAGTTACTCACAAACAACTATGAATCTACTTGGAAAAAGGTGAGAGCAGACCTGGCAAAATGGAAATTCCTGAATCTCTCCCTATTAGGAAAAATAGGATTAATTAAAATGAACATCTTGCCCAAAATTCTCTATTTATTTCAGAACCTGCCAATAATAAGAAACAACAAAATTTTCGATCAATGGAATAAAGACCTAGCCAAGTTTATTTGGAATGGCAAGAAGCCCAGGATGAAACATCGCATAATGATCGACAAGAAAGAAAGAGGGGGCTTCGGCCTCCCCAGCCTGAAAGCATATTTTGAGGCCTGTACACTAGTCTGGGTAAAGGACTGGATCACCCTGAAAAGAGAAAATACACTAACACTGGAGGGATTCAATCTCAGGGTGGGATGGCATGCGTACCTGTGGTACGACAGGGCCAAAATAGAGGGCAATTTCGGAAACCATTTCGTCAGATCTACCCTTTTAAAAGTCTGGACAAAATACAAAAAACACTTCTACGAGAAAACCCCACTCTGGCTCTCGCCACTCGAGGCGAAGCAAAGGCGCTTACTCGGATGGCAGCATTGGCCAACCTACAGAGACTTACTTACCAAGAACACAAAAGACAATTCGTGGAACCTAAAACCACAGGAAGAACTGGCCAAGTCTTTCAAATATCTGACTTGGTTGCAGTACTACCAACTACACGAAACGTACAAACAGGACGTGAAGATAGGTTTTGAAGAAAGAACCACGACCTGGGAAGCTATACTGAAATCAGGGGAAAAAACTATTACGAAGCTCTACAACCAAATACTTACCTGGGAAACAGAGACTGAGGAAATAAAAAAAATTGTATGGTCCTCTGGGCAAAAAACATCGGCCACCCAATAAAACTGCATGAGTGGCAGACGATTTGGCGAAAGAAGTTAAAATACACCTACTCCTCTGCGTTAAGAGAAAATTGGCTGAAAACTTTCCACCGCTGGTATCTAACACCGTATAAGTTGAGCCAAATGTATCCAAATTATCAAAACTTATGCTGGAAGTGTAAAGCCCACCCCGGTACATATTTCCATATGTGGTGGACCTGCCCTAAGGTACAAAAATTCTGGATTGAGCTCCAGGGAGAAAATACTCAAGAAACGATTTCCCAGAAAACCAGAGTACTTCCTACTAGGGCTGACGGACGAGGATTTCAATCTCAATAATAACGATGACATCATATGGACATACATCTCCACCGCAGCGAGAATAGTTCTGGCAAGACACTGGAAAGATGAGCATCTCCCCAACATCGAAGAATGGATAGATAAGATTTCTGAAGTCAAAGATATGGACAAACTGACGTTCCTTTTGAAATCAAGCTCCGGAGGTCCAGTCAGATCAACAGACTGGACAGCATTCGAAGACTACGAAAGGCAGAGATATGAATGATTTGAATAAACAAAAAGAAGAGACACAGTGATACTGACCCTTAGAAAATAAGGTGCAAAAGAAATCAGGAAAATAAAACTGGGCCTCGGTAGAGAAACCGAGAACACTCTGTAAGGAATCCAAATGGAAGTCGCTTTTAGATCCCCCTCCCATTCCCCCCCATCTCTAACCTCCTAAGGGCGGGACTAGGGACCACGGTCCCCAAGGGGTAAGACAGTCTATTACCCAGGTATACAATCTATAGGTTTTCTTGAGCGCTACTAAGGCTCAAGCTACAAGGGCGGATAGACCGACCTGTCCCCTATGTGGGACACAGTAGATCCCAGAAAAGGTACTCACCTGGCGTACCCACAAGAAAACCATCACAAGTAACAACACCCAAGGAACTGCTTCCCCCAGCCTGCCCTTCTTCCTTCCTTTATAGCATCCCCCCCTCTCCCCGTCCCTCCCTCCCTCCTGTTTCTAGACACCCTCCCTGTCCCCCTCTCCCCCCTACGTCCTCTTTCTCCCCCCCCCCCCCGCTTCCCAATTTTGTAATTCTGTAATTTGTCATTTTAAAACCAATAAAGATTATTATTAAAAAAAAAAAAGAACACATTCTCCATCATACTCCATATGATGTGTGATGGAGAATATGTTCTAAGACAGCTGTGGATATCCGAAACTATAAATCACTTCTTCTTAAACCAGTGGTCCTCAACCTGTGGGTTTCCAGATGTTTACCTATTCCACAAGAAGTCACACTCATCTGGCAAATTTTCAGAGAACCATGATATGTCTACCTTATGTCATAAGGTGCTGACATCACAAAATTAGTATCTGTACCTCTGCTCCCTGTCAATGGAACCTGAAAAAGCTCGGTGCTAGGTAGCATTACAAATATGAAAAAAGTATTCTATTTACAGTCATGAACAGTAATTCAATGTACATGTTGACATCTAGAAGTCACGTTCCTGACTACCATCAGTGTTATCTATGTTGTGGTAGATGCATAAAACAGACTTACAAAAAATCAAAATAGCTATTATGTGACAAAGGGTTCACTCACCTTTAAATGCAGAAGTTTTATAATTATGCTGTATGGCAGCAATAATATCCTTCCAAAACTCATACTTTCGCCTAGGACTGCGCTATAAGGATAAAAAGAAATCCTATGAATATCCTCAAAATGTTAGAATACACAGCACTGGAAAAAGAGCACTTGCCACATAATGTTTCATTGGGAAGTACTCTCATCCAGCAATTCAGTCATGCCCTTTTCCATGACACTCCATTCTGTTATTGCCATCACTCCATTTCTTACATGGTCCCCGAAGGTCAGGATTCAACATCAACAAAATATACTCAACCATTATTGAGATGTTTGAGAGTGTTTTCAATTTTTTTTGTTCCTAAAGATAGTGTTCTAAAGTAGACATCTTATGGTACTGGTTTAAATGCATTAAAAGAAGGAGCTTATGATGTTATTACAGGATAAACAGGTAATGTTCCACTTCAGAGTACATGTATGCCATACCATTGCTTAAAGTTACAACTTTTTACAAAAACCCTTCAAGAATAAAATTTGCAAGGCAAGAGAAGATTCTAACCTGTTATTCGACTAAAATGAGCAAGGGTCTGGAGAACAAGCCCTATGACAAGCAGCTTAAAGATCTGGGCATGTTTAGCTTGCAGAAGAGAAGGAAGTCATGCCACCCCTCGATTCTGCCTTGGTCAGACCACACCTGGAATCACACTGTGTCCAATTTTGGGCTCCACAATTGAAGGGAGATGTTGACAAAGCTGGAATGTGTCCAGAGGAGGGCGACTAAAATGATCAAGGGTCTGGAGAACAAGCCTATGAGGAGCGGCTTAAGGAGCTGGGCATGTTTAGCCTGAAGAAGAGAAGGCTGAGAGGAGATATGATAGCCATGTATAAATATGTGAGAGGAAGCCACAGGGAGGAGGGAGCAAGCTTGTTTACTGATTCCATGGAGATTAGGACAAGGAACAATGGCTTCAAACTACAAGAAAGGAGATTCCATCTGAACATGAGGAAGAACTTCCTGACTGTGAGAGCCGTTCAGCAGTGGAACTCTCTGCCCCGGAGTGTGGTGGAGGCTCCTTCTTTGGAAGCTTTTAAACAGAGGCTGGATGGCCATCTGTCAGGGGTGATTTGAATGCAATTTTCCTGCTTCTTGGCAGGGGGCTGGACTGGATGGCCCATGAGGTCTCTTCCAACTCTATGATTCTATGATTCTATGTTAGCTTGGCTTTGTACTTGCTGACTGTTTTCTCTGCAGAAAAAACTTCAACCATGCAATGTCATCACATGACATCTAAAACAATGTTGTCTTTTTTAGCTTTTTAGGATTGTACCCTGTCATTCTGCTGTATATATAGACCAGGTCTGAGAATACAAGAGTGGTGGGAATTCAGTTCAGAGATCAAATGACAAGAGAACACCTTGTTTCTCTATTTTCAATAACCTAACATGAAACAAAATGTACTAACTGATCCTGAGATACTGAAAGATAGGGATAATTTTGCACTGCATCACTGACTATACTTCTGTGATGGAAAAATCCTAAAATGTTACCACAACATCAAGCTGCTTTTGTTTACAATACAAACTGATCACTGCGGCATGCAGGTGATTTAGTTTCAGTTCTTTGTTTTAACAAATCTTTCTGCTTACAGCTAAGTCATTCTGGTGAATGTTCTCCTTAGTGACATACCTAAGGACCTCATCACACTAGAGAATGAATCCACTTTAAATCCAGTGTCTGACTCCTGCTGATGTCTGGGGTTTGTAGTTTAGGGAGGAGCAAGGCTGAGTTTTTTCTAGCACTGGTCTATGAAAGAGGCAAAGCTTAGGAAATGCAAAAGCTATTCTAAACAGAGTTGAATTTACAAAGTACTGTCAAAGGCTTTCACAGCCAGAATCACTGGAGTGTTGTGTAGTTTCTGGACTGTATGGCCATGTTCTAGCAGCATTTTCTCCTGATGTTTTGCCTGCATCTGTGGCTGGCATTTTCAGAGGACTGATGGTAGTCACATAAGTTTTATATATATATATATATATATATATATATATATATATATTCCTGTAGAATGTCCACGATGGGAGGAAAGAACCATTGTCTGTTAAACTAGTATGAAAAGTTCAATTAGAAAGCTTGTAAGTAGCCTGGCCTTTGTTCCCTTTGAATTGTTTGTTGCCTGGAGATATCCTTTGTCTGGGCAAGCCCTTGACTGCTTACTATATGGAGACTTCCTATGTCTGGGTGGTGTTCCTTATTCACTGTCTTGATTCTAGTGTTTTTCAATACAGATAGCCAAATTTTGTTCATGTCCACAAGTATATATACTCCAATTGTTTCACTATCATCAGATCCTCTGAAGATGCCAGCCACAGATGCAGATGAAACGTCAGGAGAAAATGCTGCTAGAACACAGCCATACAGCCCAGAAACCATACAACTGAATTTACAAAGTTAGCAATCTTTATAATGTAGACACTGGAAATGAGGTCAAACAATGCTTGTTATCTCATCCAGACTGGATGGCCCATGAGGTCTCTTCCAATTCTATGATTCAATTATTCTATCCCCACAGATTTCTCACCCATCCTATATGTTCAAAATGGCAATTTTTCCACCTTAATGTACTACAAATTGAAATAGTCCATTTTATTTTATCTATGACAACCACAGAAAGAAAACATAGTAATAATAAAGATATTAAAAACCACTTGTTTGACTAATCAGTGTTGTTTTCTAAATATGCCTACCAACAGATTTCTCTATGTCAGGTAACACAAAAACTGATTTGGGTTTCAGGTAGACAGAAAAAAAATCACACAATTTCCTCTTTAGAGGCTGAGTCGTCTGCATCTATGACTAGGACAGAAGAGGGGAATGCAGTTCGCCTTTAGAAATCAACCAACTGTAATATGGTGGCTGTTTTAGAGATGAGAGTTTACTTAATGCAAATGGAAACATCACTGCTAGCAAATAAGCATAACTCTAAAGGACCAAAGATATGATATTAAATGGGTCTGTGCATTTAAAGTGCACCTTTTTTTCAAAATGAGAATAGTACAGGCAGTCCTCGAGTTACAAACATCTGACTTACAAATGACTCACAGTTAAGAACAGGGGTGAGACAACACAAAGTGAAAGAAATCTATCCCACTGAAGGGAAATTCACTCCTGTAAGAGTTATTATGATGGGGAAAAGGTATCTCCACTGAAGCTTTGTCACCAATCCTTGTTTCCAAAAAAGCAAAGCAAACACCACAGAGGTGTTAACCCTTTCCTACGCTATCCAAAGCAAATATAAGGTAAAGGTTTCCCCTTGACATTAAGTCTGGTTGTGTCTGATTCTGGGGGATGGTGGTCATCTCCATTTCTAAGCTAAAGAGCCAGCATTGTCCGTAGACACCTCCAAGGTCAGGTGGCCAACATGACTGCATGGAACACTGTTACCTTCCTGCAGAAGCAGTCCCTATTGATCTATTCACATTTGCATGTTTTCAAACTGCTAGATTGGCAGAAGGTGGGGCTAACAGCAGAAGCTCCCCCCCGCTCCCCGGGTTCAAACCACCAACCTTTTGGTCAGCAAGTTTAGCAGCTCAGCAGTTTAACCTGCTGTGACATCGGGGACTCCATTTGTATATTAAAGAACACACATTAAATTCAAAGATGATTTTAATATCATTTCTAAGACTACTATTTAATAATCTATTCCAGAAATGGGAATCCTATGGCCCTACATATGTTGTCGAACTGCAACTTGCAGCACTCTTCACCATTCGCTATGTTGCCTAAGGCCAGGGTTGCCGGGTGTTGAAAGTGAAAATAGAGGAGGACAATAACAGTAACTCCTTCCACTCTGGAAGGGATGGCCCACTCCCTTCCCCATCTTTTCTTCACTGTCCTTCACCCAAGCTATTCTCTGGCTGTCTGGAGTAGAGCTTGCTTCACCTGGATTCCCAGAAGAAAGCTAGAGGATGCCACCATTGCCACCTCTGACTTGAAGGGGGAGTGGCTAGCTGGGCCTGAACTCACTTCCACCAGAAGAGCATACTCAGATTGGCAGAAACATGGGAAAATTGATGTCCTGACCTGGGATGTAAGGGGACTCTGAAATACGGGACTATTCCTTAAAATCTGGGATGCCTGGTAACCCTGCTAAGACTGTTAAGAGTTGTTCAATATCTGAATATCTGTACAATCGCCATCTCTGATCTATATACTAGGTTTGTGGATTTGCCCTTAGAAACACCCATGACATCCATGGTACAATTTTTTCACAGGTGTACCAGGCACAGGTAATGCCTGGTAAGATACAGACAGCAGTAGGAAAGGGGGGAAAACATATTACAGATTGATAGACACAATCAAGGAAGCCACGACCTTCAGTCTATAAGACCTGAGCAGAGCTCTGGATAACAGGATGTCTTGGCTTGCACACACACAGTAGAATTGTTTCAATTTGACATCCTTTTAGCTGTCATAGCTCCATCCTATAGAGTCCTAGGATCTGAAGTTTGTTGTGACGCCAGAGCTCTTTGACATAGGAGAGTAATCACATCTCAGAAAACTACCAATCTCAGAATCCCACAGCATTGAGCCATGGCAGTTAATGAGGTGTCGTACTGTTAAAATCCTGCAGTGTCGATACAGCTTTAGATGTCTCTCATTTACAGGGTCACCATAAGTCAAAGTCGATTTTGACAGTTGTTAATGACAAACACTATGTATAAACAATTACAGCCCAGAAATAAATTTCCTTTCGTTGCATAATCATTAATAAAATTATAATATGACACAAAAAGGTGAGAAACACAAGAAATGGGGACACGACTATCTTGCACCATTAAGATTTCTTTTCCAAAATTGAGCTGTAAATCAGGTTAATACTTACTTTGTTTAAACCATCTACAATTCGTGCACAAAGAAGTGCTCCTGGCAGATCAAAATAATTGTCATAGGAATAATATTTAGCTGCAAAGAAGAAGAAAAGAATTGTAATATCATATCGGATTCCAACTTTTCACAGGAAACAATTGAACTTCAGAAGTTCTTACTGCAATCTATTCTGAAAAATCGGGGGGAAATTCTTGGAGTATTATTTTGGTAAATTATATCTCCATACTGTTTCACAATCTTGATGACCACAACTTGTAGGATTATCCTTGTTTTTCTCTTTCAAAACCAGCCCTTTCCCCTGTGCCTTTTAGCAGCAAACTGACCTGCAAACATTATTTTTGTCTCTATCTGTCTCTGAAACCCTTCATTAAATGAATAAAATAAAAGACCTAAATTCAACAACACCCATGTCTCAACAGATCAAAAATAAAGACATGAACTCTGCCTTCCAAAAAGCCTGGGTGAAAAACCAAGTGTTAACTCAATTAAAAAATGAAGTCAATGTTGTCCCCATCCACATTGCTATACTGTATAATGCAGCTTGAAATGGCATTGTATGGCTAGTGCAGGCTCATATAATGTAGTTCAATTGCATTATATGAACCTACACCAGAGGTTTCCAAACTGTGAGTCGTGACACATTAGTATGTCAGCTGCAGTGTGTGTCTCATAGAAACGTAACAAAATACCTCTGATTTTTGTCAAATAAGCATAATGGTCCCCAATCCGTTACTAACCTTCTGCACATAGTTGACTTTTGTTTTTTATTTGTTTATTGTTTATTAATTACTGTTATTTTAATTTTAAGTCATTTATTTTAGTAAGTTATTTTAGTCCTTGCTAGATCATTTAATTATTCTGATTTACCTTGATTAGCTTCACAACTGTATGGGGACACAACAAACCTTCAGGACACAACAACATGACCATTTTGCAAAATGATGTATGTCTAAAAAGTGTGTCACCATCATCAAACATTAGGAAAGTTCTGGTCTACACTCACCAAGTAATGCAGTGTGAAACTGCTGGGGAGATCTCTAAAACCAGTCAGGAACATATTGAGGCAAATTCAAGAGATACGCATGGCTATGTCACAGATATATAAAAGTTGCAGAAAGCCTTGTAAGTACACAGTGTCACCATATAATATAAAAATATATAGTGAAAAGTATCAGATAGTTTGCAGTATTTGCTTGAAGACATCCCACCACTACTCTGAGCAACTATTTTGATGATCAAACCATTCTTATCATTAAGAGAGGAGAATCAGCTTATTTATGAAATGGAAATGTGCGGAAAACCTGGGATATCAGATAAGAAATTAAAAATTACATATGGGAGAAAAGAAAATGTTTAAATCCACCCTGGCTTTTCAGCTGTGTCTACTGAATAATAATAACAACAAAAATAATAGTAGTAATAACAATAAAATAATAACAATAATTTACTACATTTTTATCTCATCTTTCACCATATACAGACTCAAAGACTGAATAATAAAAATATAATAATAATTTACTATATTTTATCCCATCTTTCTCCTTATAGGGACTCAAAGCAGCAAACAATGACATGGCACAATATGGTCCGGAGCCATTAAGTGGTACATAAGCCTTTATGGTCCCAACATGCATACATACATACATAGACTATTACGTGTATAGATTTGTATAGCTAATACCTGAACGAGAAACCATTCCACTCATAGTCTTGAAGTGTTTCCACTCTTTCCTTCCATATGTCTCCAAAATCTCTTCAGGGGTCATATGCTTTGTTCCATGACTTGCCCTATTTGACATATATATGCAACAAGAATTAAAATCAAGCATTTTATCCAGGTGTGCAAACTTTCTTTATCGACATATAAACCGCCCTGCGTCTCCTCGGGGAGATAGGTGTGGGATATAAATAAAGTATTATTATTGTCGAAGTATTATTATTATTATTATTATTATTATTATTATTATATTCTTCTCTCTTCCCCCAAATTACAGTAGGATGTCTCTGAGCAACACTGATATTTACTAGTTATTTATTATGCACTTTGCCAAGAAGAACCTAAATTTAGGGTCTTTGTTAAAACTATTTGGTAATAATTGGGTATTCCAGATTAACTTCACAGCACACTTTACTTAGCAAACAAGAATGCTATGTGAACACTAGAATAATATACAGAGAGATCATGTGAAATGCAAATGACGCAGGTACTAGAATTCTCAATACACATCTAAAGGTGTTTAAAAACAAATGGATTCTGTTATATTTAATAAGTTTGCTGTTAAAACCACCAGGTGTATCATGGGATATTGGATACAGGAACTCTGCTTGTATTACAGAGTGCAAACTTTCCTGGTTCTGCTTAGCATAAATTGATGTTTCTGATATTATTTTTTGAAACATCAGTCATATGATAGATATCTGGACTTTCATACTAGTAGAGCACATAGCAGAAAACAGAACAGTGCTCAGAAAACAGAAAATTGTCAAAAACATACACTTTTATTGAGATGAAAGAGACTGAAATGTTACCTCAAAACGGATCCATCTTCAGAAAGTTTAAGGAAGTTCCCATCTTCCATATCTAGCACTAGGCCTTTACAGCTAAATGTATATGGAGTCAGCAACAGGAAAATGAAAAGTGAATGGAATTACTATTACTGCATTGAATATATATACAAGTGATACAGCATACAAAACAAACTGTAATCTTAAATGCATTATGGCAGTAAAGGCAGGCATTGCAGTTCAATATGCTGCTTATTCTGTGACTGGGGAGAACTCGTCATCAGGTCAGCAGTGCATTCAAACCAAAATGGCCTGGATCTAGGGCAGCAGCAGGAAACTTTCAGATCGCCATATTTTTTGGATTATAACTTCCATAATGCTTTTACCACTGTCCACACTTAAGTATGACTGATGGGAATTGTCAGCCAAAGCCTTTGGTAGACCATAATGTCCTCAGTGCTGCTCCAGAGCCTGCTGAGTCATAAAAGAATGACTTCAGGAAAAGGCTTCACTAAGCGTTTTTAGTTTCTAGAAACTACCCAGGAAAGCAGTGCATAATAAAAAGAAAAGCCACTCAGCCCAATGATCGTAATGGGGAAATTGATGTTCTGGCAGCCATTAACAATCTGATGGATGATGCTATGACATAAGTGAGCCAAGGCACCATGGGTGACTATGTGGGCAGCAGGGAGTAGACAATAGGTAAGCAAAATATTTTATTTATGTTACTGTCTTTGTTAAAGTACACCCTCCATTAAAAGACTTCTGGGAAGGACACAGACTTTTTAAAAAGTAAAATGATACAGAAATTTTTTAAAAAATTAAAAGTTACAATCAGAAATCAATGAATCAGAAATGTATAGTCTCATCAGACCATGATCCCTAATTCCCAAGACATTTTTAAAAGAGCCAAGATTCAACTTGGTGCTGAAAGAAGAGGGCAGGTCACAACTAGGGAACGCGTGTCTCTTGAGGGACCCTCTGACATCTTAGGCCCCTTCTACACTGTTCTTATATCCCAGGATCATATCCCAGGTTATCTGATTTGGAACTGGATTATATGAGTCTCCAATGCCATATAATCTGGGATAAGGAGATAATCTGAGAATAGATCCTGGATTATAATGAAAGACTAGAAAGGGCCTTAATCTTGTGGCAGACATAAGCCCGATGTAAAACTGTAGGATTATTGAAAACCAGGGTCCTTCCACACAGCCATATAACCCAGAATATCAAGACAGAAAATCCCACAGTATCTGCTTTGAACTGGGTTATCTGAGTCCACACTGCCATATAACTCAGTTCAAAGAAGAAAATGTGGAAGGCTTCCCAATGGTATACTGAGCTGGAATTTGGAAATCCAATTTCAGGTTTTCATTGAGCTAAAATTCTCAGTGGATAGTCTTGAAGCAGTCATTCTTTAACAGCATAACCTATCTCAATGATTGTTGTACAGAGTATGACGCCTGTATAAATTGTGGCCCCTTCTACATGGAGATATAAAATCCAGATTATCTGCTTTGAACTGGATTATATGGCAGTGTAGACTCATACAATACAGTTTAAAGCAGATGAAATTTGGATTGTCTGCTTTGATTATCTGGATAATATGGCAGTATTGAAGCACCTTGTATTGAATTCATCAGAGGAAAGGTGAAATATAAGTGTTACTAACAGGAATACATATGAGATTGGTAATAAATGAGAGTCAACATGATGTAGTGGTTTGAGTGTTGGACCAGGACACTGAGTCCCTTTCCACACAGCTGTATAAAATCCACACTGAACTGGATTATATGACAGTGTGGACTCAGATAATCCAGTTCAAAGCAGATATTGTGGATTATCTGCCTTGATGTTCTGGTTTATATGGCTGTGTGGAAGGGCCCTGAGGCAAGAGCAAACCCACTCTGGAAAAATGCTGCCCCCACCAAAACACATAACCTTAGAGTTTCCGTAAATCAGACATGACTTGGAAGGCATACAACAACAACAACAACTAACCAAGATAATGCTTCCACACCGCTGAATAAAATCTCACATTTTCTGCTTTGAACTGGAATATATGGCAGTGTGGACTCAGGTAACCCAGTTCAAAACAGATATTGTGTGATTTTCTGCCTTGATATTCTGGCTTTTATGGCTGTGTGGAAGGGACCTCAGCTTATCTAATATGGGGGACCACAAACATTGTTTTCCAATGTACCAGAACCAGCACTAAATTTATGCCCAGTGGATACAATGGTTTCTTTCTTTCCTGGAAACTTGCCACAGATTGACACCAGTCCAGGGACTATCACTTTAAAAAGCACTATTCTAAGAAGTCCTGAAAGATAGGCATATACATTTTCTATATTCAATTAATGTACTGACAAGTAACCTGGACATTTAAAAAATGTATAATTTTAAAAGTGATTCACTTACCAAAAATCCCAGCTTTCTGGGGTTACATTCAGCAGTTCTTTGTCATAACCTTTTTCTTTCACCATATACTGAGCAAAGCTTTCATATATAAGCTGCAAATTGAGAGAAAGGGGGAAAATAACACTACATAAACATGAGATGCACTGTGACATACCAAACTCTGTTACTTTACACTTTAGAGTCCATCTTATTAGCACTAGAAAAGTGCCTACGTGTATATAATAGCATCAGCAATTTAGATTGATAGTTAACAGGTTCTTTAGAAAAATGTGACAGTTTAAGAATGAAGAGTGAAATTCACAGAAAGCTCACGTTTACAAGCCTCAAGGATTTCTGATTTGAAGGCTCCAATAATAATTACTTGTTAACATGACTGTTACACCTTTTTCTACATTTTAGGCTCCTTCCACACAGCTGTATAAAATCTGAATTATATAGTAGTGTAGAAGGGACCCGCCTTGAACTCATCAGAGGGAAGATAAACTCGTGTTACTAACACATAGTAAATTTGAGGAATACATATTAGATTAGTAATAAATGAGAATCAAAATAATGTAGTGGTTTGAGTGTTGGATCAAGGCATTGAGTCCCTTTCCACACAGCTGTATAAAATCCACACTGAACTGGATTATATGGCAGTGTGGACTCACACAATACTGTTCAAAGCAGATGTTGTGGAGTATCTGCCTTGATATTCTGGGATATATGGCTGTGTGGAAGGGCCCTAAGGACAGGCCCTATAAACCAAGATCTAATGCCAGGTGTTCTGTTTATTCCAGACTATCTGGCAGTGCAGACTCATATAATCCAGTTTAAAGCAGAAAATCTGGGATCGGATCCTGGGATATAAGGCCTGTCTCGAAGGGAAATTAGTTAAGAATGTGAATAGGGTGAAGAAATTGTCATTGCAGCTCCTCACAACCTGTCACTGTCATTTGCTGGAAAATTTCTGCAGCATGTAATCTGGGAGGTCTGTTAAATACAATCTTACTTTGTGGGTGTGTCGTTTGAATCCAGTCTCATGCAGTGACATTTGTAGCATCATGCTACATGCAATGGCGGAGAAGAAAGTCTCTCTGGGTGCAGAATTAATGCATTGTTGAAGGCTTTCATGACCAGAATTACTGATTTGCTGTGAATTTTCCGGACTGTATGGCCATGTTCCAGAAGCATTCTCTCCTGATGTTTTGCCCACATCTATGGCTAGCGTCCTCAGAGGTTGTGAGTTATATTGGAAACTAGACAAGGGAGGTCTGTGGAAGGTCCTAGGAGGGAGAAAGATCTGATGGAGGCAAGTGTGAATGTTGCAGTTAATCACCTTGATTAGCACCAAGCAGCCTTGCAGCTTCAAAGCCTGGCTGCTTCCTACCTGGGGGGTATCCTTTGTTTGCAGAATTATATTTGGCAACAGCTATGTGACAGAAAGATCTGTTTATACATTCACACTAAATATTCATAAAATTACCCTTCCATATCTACAGATAATCAAGGTGATTAATTGCATCAGACAAGAGTTCTTTCTCCCACCCTGGACCTTCCACAGATATCTAAACCTCCATTGTCTAGTTTCCAACATGGCTCACAACCTCTCAGGATGCCTGCCATAGATGTGGGTGAAACATCAGGAGAGAATGCTTCTGCAACATGGCCATACAACCCGGAAAACTCACAGCAACCCAGAATTAATGCAGTTTGAAACCACTTTCACTGCCATGGCTCAATGCTATAGAATCCTGGGATGTATAGTTTTATATATTTTTTTTAAAAAAATCTCTTCCAAACAGTGCTGGTGCCTCACCAAATTGCAAATACCAGGCTTTTATAGCATTGAGACATGGCAGTTAAAGGAGTGTAAAATTGCATTAATTCTACATTGTAGTTGGTGTACCTTCTCAATTCTTTGGAGGACTGCATGGTTAATATGATTGCATGGGTACCATAGTTTAAACAAATAAAAGTGAATATACATATGTAAGACTTCAAAGCAGGATATTCAAACTTATTAACATAATCAAGTGGGAGTTGGCAATGGTCCTGAACTGTAAAAGGCTTTGGTCCAGTGCGTACTTGTTTGGGAATAAGACAGTGGAACTAAGCTCTGAACAAAATATGCATTTTACAGACGCAAAAATGCAAAACTAAACTCAGAATCAAGCCTCATTGCTTTCAATTAGCCTCTCCCCTTGGCTTCATCACTATTCGGAGTAAATTAGAAGACCAGGACTTGGAAGGCCTGCTATGAAGGAACTGGACAAGATCCTGAAGTGTCAAGATACATTACTAAATACAAAAATTCTGATGCTGTATGTCATTGTAGTCTCCACGTCTACATTTGGTTGTGAAAACTGGACAGTGCAGGGGGAAAGCTAATAGGAAGGTAATCATCTCATTTGAGATGTGATGCTGGCTACCATGGACTGTGAAAAAGATCAGTAAATTGCTTTTGGAGCATATAATGATAGAATCATAGAGCTGGAAGAGACCTCATGGGCCATCCAGTCCAACCCCCTGCCAAGAACAAAGAAAATCGCATTCAAAGCACTCCCAACAAATGGCCAGCCAGCCTCTGTTTAAAAGCCTCCAAAGAAGGAGTCTCCACCACACTCCGGGACAGAGTTCCATTGCTGAACAGCTCTCACAGTTAGGAAATTCTTCCTCATGTTCAGGTGGACTCTCCATTCCTGTAGTTTGAAGCCATTGTTTCGTGTCCTAGTCTACAGGGCAGCAGAAAACAAACTTGCTTCCTCCTCCCTATGACTTCCCCTCACATATTTATACATGGCCCTCAACATGCCTCCTCTCAGCCTTCTCTTCTTCAGGCTAAACATGCCCAGATCTTTAAGCCACTCCTCATAGCGCTTGTTCTCCAGACCCTTGCTCATTTTAGTCGCCCTCCTCAGGACACATTCCAGCTTGTCAACATCTCCCTTCAATTGCGGTGCCCAAAATTGGACACAGTATTCTAGGTGTGGTATGACCAAGGCAGAATAGAGGARTAGCATGACTTCCCTGGATCTAGACCAGTGATTCTCAACCTGTGGGTCCCCAGGTGTTTTGGCCTACAATTCCCAGAAATCCCACCAGTTTACCAGCTGTTAGGATTTCTGGGAGTTGAAGGCCAAAACATCTGGGGACCCACAGTTGAGAACCACTGATCTAGACACTATACTCCTTATTTATGGGGGGGAAGGAAAAGGTAGGGGGCTGGGGCTGTTAGGAATCTTGGGAGCTTAAATCCAAAATACCTGGACGGAGGGCCCATGCCTGCTTTAGAGCAGCGTTTCTCAACCTGGGCGAGTGACAAGGGAGTGTCAGAGGGGTTGCCAGAGACCATCAGAAAACACAGTATTTTCTGTTGGTCATGGGGGTTCTGTGTGGGAAGTTTGGCCCAAATCTATCATTGGTGGAGTTCAGAATGCTCTTTGACTGTAGGTGAACATTACATCCCAGCAACTACAACTCCCAAATGCCACAGTCTATTTTCCCCAAACTCCACCAGTGTTCACATTTGGGCATACTGAGTGTTCATGCTAAGTGTGGTCCAGATCCACCATTGTTTTCAGTCCACAGTTCTGTCTGGATGTAGGTGAACTACAACTCCCAAACTCAAAGTCAATGCCCACCAAACCCTTCCAGTATTTTCTGGGGGTCAGATCTGTTGGGTTTGGTTCAATTCCATTGTTGGTGGAGTTCAGAATGCTCTTTGACAGTAGGTGAACTATACATCCCAGTAACTACAACTCCCAAATGACCAAATCAATCCCTCCCCTCCCCCACAATCCCACCAGAATTCAGATTTGGTTGTAGTGGGTATTAGTCCAGTAAATAAAAATACATCCTGCATCTCAGATATTTACATGGAGATTCATAACAGTGGCAAAGTAAGAGTTATGAAGTAGCAACGAAAAATAATGTTATGATCGGGGAGGGGAGAGTCACCACAACACGAGGAACTGTATGAAGGGGTGGCGGGCATGAGGAAGGTTGAGAAACACGGCTCTAGATGGTAAAGCCCTGGCAATTGAAGCGGGGCCAAAGCGCGTGAAGCCCGGCGTGTGACTGCCTGCTCCCTTGGAGGCCTGCAATTGGGCCGGAAGGGAGGCCAGGCCGGCTCCGCCCGCCCCTTCCAGGAGCGCGCTCAGCCCTCCGCCCCCGGGGCTGGGTTTAGCTGCAAAGAGACGTCAGAGCGCCTCTTTCCGCGCCGGCGCCCTTCCTCTCCGGCTTCCCCTCCTCCTCCTCCTCCTCCTCCTTCGCACTAGCTCTTGAGCCGGGCAAAGAACGAGCCCCAAGCCAGCCAGCCCGCCCGCCAGCCCTTTCCGTCTAAAGCGGGCCGAGTGACAAGACTGCTACTCCTCTCCGCCCTCCTCTCCGCTCACCGGGGCGCTGTGGGCCAAGTGGTAGCGGCACAGCGTGTGGTCCAGGTCGAAGCCGATCACCTCGCAGTCGGCCAAAGAGAAGGAGGAGGAGGAGGAGGAGGAGGACATGGTGGCCGAGGCAGCGCTCCCCTCGTCGAGAGCTTCCTCCAGCTGGTGCCTGCCTTGGAGGCGGCTCCTTCTTCCCGCAAGACTTGGCCGGCCGGCCTGCAGCTGCTCTTGCCCCGGCTCATCCGGCGCCTCCTCCCGCCTCCTCTCTTCCCTCCCTTCCCTCCCTTCCCGCGCTCCTGCCAGAGTGCCTTCCCCCTCCCAGCCGGTGCCTCCGCGGGGCCAGTTTGGACACCCCTTGGACTGCCCTGGTCAGGCCCTCCATTAGGGCATCATCACGCGCCCCTCCTCAGAGGAGCTCGTGAACTAAGAGTTTCCATGGGCCTCTCTCAAGGGTGCTTTAGCTGTGCTTCCTTGGGCTAGGTGTCCCTTGCAGGCAGGGGGCATCTGCGCTGGAGAACCCCAAACTAAGGTCACTTACCCAGCCCGGCACCTAAAACATTGAGCAACTTAGAGTCGAAACAACTGTAACGGCCCACTGGGTTGCATGTGCGTCCCCAATGGCGCAACAGGTTAAACCCTTGTGCTGGCAGGACTGAAGACTGACAGTTCACAGGTTCGAATCCAGGGAGAGTGAAGATGAGCTCCCTCTGTCAGCTCCAGCTCCCATGCGGGGACATGAGAGAAGCCTCCCACAAGGATGGTAAAACATCAAAACATCTGGGTGTCCCCTGGCAATGTCCTTGCAGATGGCCAATTCTCTCACACCAGAAGTGACTTGCAGTTTCTCAAGTCACTCCTGACACACAAAAAAAAATCCTCACATCTATGACAGGCATCCTCAGATGTTGTGGGGTCTGTTGGAAACTAGGCAAGTGAGGTTTACATATCTGTGGAATGCGCAGGGTGGGAGAAAGAACTCTTGTCTGCTTGAGGCAAGTGTGAGTGTTGCAATTTGCCACCTTGACTATAATAATAATAATAATACTAATAATAATAATAAACCTTTATTTGTACCCCGCTACCATCTCCCGAAGGACTCTGTGCGGCTTACAAAAGGCCGAGCCCAAATACAATAGTAAAAACAACAGCAGCAACAGACAGCAAAATAACTCAGAAACAAAGCAATAACATTGACAACACACAATAACACAATTAAAAACAATGGCAGGGCCAAATGTAATCATCAAAATTAAAAGTGCTGGGCATGACCAGGTGGAGTGTTTTGGAGGGGGATGGGCATGCAGATATCCTAGATCTCTGATAAAGTGCATTGGGACATAATGCTAGGAGTTTCCTATTCTGGGAAGGCACACTGGAACAACCACGATTAGCACTGAATGGCCTGCAGTTCCAAGGCCTGGCTGGTTGCTGCCTAAGGGAATCTTTTTTGGGAGGTGTTAGCTGGCCCTGATTGTTTCCTGTCTTTTTGAGTCTAGTTCTTTATTTACTGTCCTGATTTTAGAGGGTTTTTTAAAATACTGGTAGCCAGATTTTGTTCATTTTCATGGTTTCATTCTTTCTGTTAAAATTATCCACATGCTTGTGGATTTCAATGGCTTCTCTGTGCTGCCTGACATGGTGGTTGTCCAAGTTCGCCAGCATCTCTGTGTTCTCAAATAATACGCTGTGAATCTATGGTGTCAAAACAGTGCTCATGAATCAAGGAATTTGAAAGACACTAACTCAACCTGAGAAGTAAGCCATAGCAGAGCACCTGATGAACCCACCTGGACACCGCATATTATTGGAGAACACAGAAATGTTGGACTGCTTTAACAACTACCATGTCACACTATACAGAGAAGCCATTGAAATCCACAAGCATGTGGACAATTTCTTTTTTTAATATATGTTTTTTATTGCCAACACAGGTAGAATATCACAATCCATCACCATTTCAGAGTACATATCAAAAATATTATTTTCTTAGTGTTCTTATCCTTGCCTATTCCACCTTTATCTCCCAACTTGTGTCTATTGATTTTACACACCCCTCCCCTCCTGTGGACAATTTCAACAGAAAGGAGGAAACCATGAAAATGAACAAAATATGGCTACCAGTATTTTCTTTTCTTTCTTTTTTTAAAAAAAAAACCACCCTCTAAAATCAGGACAGTAAATAAAGATCAAAACTCAAAAAGCAGGGGAATTCCAGACAAGAATCAATCAAGGCCAGCTATCACCTCCCAGCAAAGATTCTCCCAGGCCTCAACCAGCCAGGCCTTGAAACTGCAGGCCATTCAGTGCTAATCAAGGTGGCCAATTGTAACCAATTGTGAATGTTGCAATTCACACTCGCATTCAAGTTGCTTACAATTGGCCTGTTTTCTTGTAATGTGTATGTATCTCTTATTGGGATAAGGATGATGACCTGTTAGGATCACAACCTATTGGGGATTATGGATTATGACCTGTTAGGATCATAACCTATTGGGTAGCGGAGTTATGAAGATGTTCCTTCAGTTTATTGAGTAATGGATGATCTCTGAGCAAATAGATATCTTGTTTCAAATCAATGCTCTCAGCAGACAAAGATTCAAGTAGACTTCTTTTAAAGTAACATGTTTGTTTACTCATAACTTAATGTATTTATATATACAGTCACACTTCTTGTCAGGTTAAACTTTACAACCTTTCAGTTAGTATCTTTATTGTCTTCAACAGTCTCTTCAAAAACTATATGACTCTGTACAGTTTTCTTTCTTAAGTGACAACTTTCAAAGAATTCAAGCATCAACAGTTTTGTAACTTCCTACACTGACATTTGACTGAAAAACAGACTTCTGTACTCAAGCTGACTCAAGGCTTAACTGTTTTCCAACTTCTAACACTGACTTCTGTATTCTAACAGACTCAGCGCTTAAATGTCATCCCTCAACTGTCATCATGTTTAAAATGCATTCTAAACAGTCACATGATCTGCAGCCCCTCCCACTGCCTTAAGTACATAGAGCTAAGGAAACTGCAAACCAAAGAAGACATACACTTCAGGAAATAAAACAACACATTATAAACAGACATAACATTAAATAGAGGAAGGCTTGAGAAGTTTGCTATCTCCAACATCTTTAGGTTGTGTTCTAGTACCTGGAGCATAAAAAAATTGTCCATAATCTGGATGACATTCAAGACTGACATTAAAATTAATAATGAACCCACCTTACTCTAGTAACCTCAACCCATGATGAGGGGAAAGCATGGGAATCATCATCTTACCACAGCATTCCATTCTCTTTATAAGGAAAATGGATAATATAAGGAAAATGGATAATATAATTCACCCCCATCACATGGGATGTACTTTTGTCCATTTCTACAGTAATCCACTGCATTCTGATCCATCACATGGGCAAGTGTAGTCCCCACCTGTACCATTTTCTTTAAAAAAAAATTAAAGATGGGAAACCTTGGAATTGTGGAAGTCCGAAATCTACGTCTAAAAAGGAGGGAAGGGATATAGCTACGACAGACTGGTAATGTAGCAAAATTACACATTTCATGAGACATATCTATCTATATATATAAATGCTCTGTGCATAACGAGCACCTTAAAAACAAAATAACCAATGAATGAAATCACACCAAATTTGGCAACAAAATGTCTCACAACACAAGGAGTGACCATCACTCAAAAATTATGATTTTTGTCATTTGGGAGTTGTAGTTGCTGGGATTTATAGTTCACCTACAATTAAAGACCATTCTGAACTCCATCAACGATGGAATTGAACCAAACTTGGCACACAGGACTCCCATGACCAACAGAAAATACTGGAAGGGTTTGGTGGGCATTGACCTTGAGTTTGGGAGTGGTAGTTCACCTACATCCAGAGAGCACTGTGGACTCAAACAATGATGGATCTGGACCAAACTTGGCACAAGCACTCAATATGCCCAAATATGAACACAGATGGAGTTTGGGGGAAATAGACCTTGACATTTGGGAGTTGTAGTCACTGGGATTCACAGTTCACCTACAATCAAAGAGCATTCTGAACCCCACGAACGACAGAATCAGGGCAAACTTCCCACACAGAACCCCCATGACCAACAGAAAATACTTAAGGCCATCCAATCCAACTCCCTTCATCAGGGGAAGAAACGTAATCAAAGCCCTCCTGACAAAGAGCCATCCAGCAATAGATAGATAGATAGATAGATAGATATGATTCACACACACACACAGATATAGTATCATAGATTTGAAAGGACCCTTAAAGAAGGACAATGATATGTTGCATGTTCCAGGGTGGGCAAACCAGACACTCTCCACATCAACACTGACAAAGAAACAGCAAGAAATACTGTTTACCCACAAGCATAAAGAAATTACATATATTAGAACAACACTTTCTCATTACTTTATTTTCCAGATCAACAATCAACAGACTGGGTCACAGCAACACGTGGTAGGGGACAGCTTTTTATATATATATATATATATATATATATATATACACACACACACACACACACACACACACACACACACACACACACATATATATATATACATACACACACACATACATATATGCTCACACTTTGACGTCGCTAAAACAATTTAAAATGGGAATCTATCAGATCCCATTTCACCTTCAAATATGGCCTTTAGCCATTTCTGTGCAGATTGGGATCTCTGAGGACGATTGCTTCCCCACCCCCCAAAGCTCCATTTTTACACACTTTAAAAACAGTTTAAGCACGGAGACCCATGGCAAACCACCAGAAATAGTCCTGCGTCGCATAATGGACTCCATGGAACTCCATCTTTAAACTTATTTTTAAGTGCGTAGAACTGAAGGCACCCTGCATCTGATGAAGTTGTAGGATTCTCCAATCACCAGAGAAAGAAAGGGAGAAGGAAGGAGATCAACAGACGAAACATAACAATTAAATATGGAGGGAGGTGAAATTAAAAAAGAAAGTTTTATCATTGAATTGGGATGGGGAACATGATTTCCTTGGAGACCAATACTGTCAAGCAGTCGGCTTTTTCAAAAGTGTAGTTCTTTTAAGCCAAAAAGCAGTTGTTCTTCCACCACATGTTTATATACAAGGAAAATACTTACGGGTCTTTCCGAGTGGAATAGGGATTATATGGGATATATTCTCCACTGTCCAGTGTTGTAGGCTATATAATTCTTAGAAGGTTGCATTTGGGATTTAATTTCTAAATAATTGTTATACATTAAAAAAAATACCATTGACTTTAATTAT